CTCAACACTGCCCATAGACTCAACACTGCACCAAAGACTCAACACTGCCCATAGACTCAGCACTGCACCATAGACTCAACACTGCACCATAGACTCAACACTACACCATAGACTCAACACTGCCCGTAGATTCAACACTGCACCATAGACTCAACACTGCCACCCACAGACTCAACACTGCCTATAGACTCAACACTGCCACCCACAGACTCAACACTGCCCAAAGACTCAACACTTCCACCCACAGACTCAACACTGCACCATAGACTCAATATTGCCCATAGACTCAACATTGCACCATAGACTCAACACTGCCCATAGACTCAACACTGCACCATAGACTCAACACTGCACCACAGACTCAACACTGCCCATAGACTCAACACTGCCCATAGACTCAACACTGTCCATAGAGTCAACACTGCCATCCACAGACTCAACACTGCCCATAGACTCAACACTGCCCAAAGACTCAACACTACACCATAGACTCAACACTACACCATAGACTCAACACTGGCCATAGACTCAACACTGCACCATAGACTCAACACTGCACCATAGACTCAACACTGCCCATAAACTCAACACTGCCCATAGACTTAACACTGCACCATAGACTCAACACTGCCCATAGCCTCAACACTGCACCATAGACTCAACACTGCACCATAGATTCAACACTGCACCACAGACTCAACACTGCCCATAAACTCAACACTGCCCATCGACTCAACACTGCCCATAGACTCAACACTGCACCAATGTCTCAACACTGCCCATAATCTCAACACTGCCCATAGACTTAACACTGCACCATAGGCTCAACACTGCCCATAGACTCAACACTGCCACCCACATACTCAACACTGCCCATAGACTTCACACTGCCCATTGACTCAACACCGCCATAGACTTAACACTGCCCCATAGACTCAGCACTGCACCACAGACTCAACACTGCACCAGAGACTCAACACTGCACCATAGACTCAACACTGCACCACGGACTCAACACTGCACCATAGACTCAACACTGCCCATAGACTTAACACTGCTCATTGACTCAACACCGCCCATAGACTTAACACTGCCCCATAGACTTAACACTGCCCCATAGACTCAACACTGTACCACAGACTCACCACTGCCCATAGACTCAACACTGCACCATAGACTCAACACTACCCATAGACTCAACACTGCACCATAGACTCACCACTGCCCACAGACTCAACACTGCACCATAGACTCAACACTGCACCACAGACTCAACACTGCCCATAGACTCTACACTGCCCAAAGACTCAACACTACACCATAGACTCAACACTACACCATAGACTCAACACTGCCCATAGACTCAACACTACACCATAGACTCAACACTGCCCATAGACTCAACACTGCACCATAGACTCAACACTGCCACCCACAGACTCAACACTGCCTATAGACTCAACACTGCCACCCACAGACTCAACACTGCCCAAAGACTCAACACTGCCACCCACAGACTTAACACTGCACAATAGACTCAACACTGCCCATAGACTCAACACTGCACCATAGACTCAACACTGCCCATAGACTCAACACTGCACCATAGACTCAACACTGCACCATAGACTCAACACTGCACCATAGTCTCAACACTGCCCATAAACTCAACACTCCCCATAGACTTAACACTGCACCATAGGCTCAACACTGCCCATAGACTCAACACTGCCACCCACAGACTCAACACTGCACCATAGACTCAACACTGCCCATAGACTCAACACTGCACCACAGACTCAACACTGACCACAGACTCAACACTCCCCATAGACTCAACACTGCACCATAGACTCAACACTGCCCAAAGAAACAACAAAATAACAAAATATATATTGTTTCTCTTCAACGTGACTTTACTGAAAAAACTAAGAATATGAATTACTGCAGTCACGAAAGCTTTAAATCAAAATTTAAAACTGCCCAAAGACTCAACACTGCCCAGACTCAACACTGCCCATAGACTTAACACTGCCCATAGACTTAACACTGCCCCATAGACTGAACACTGCACCATAGCCTCAACACTGCCCAAAGACTCAACACTGCCCATAGACTCAACACAGCCCATAGACTCAACACTGCACCATAGACTCAACACTGCCCATAGAATGATAATAAAATAATAAATTGATAAAATAAAATAACACACTGTCTGGAGCACAGTCTCGTCCCTTCACCTGCTGAAGGCCGCTTGTGTTGTGGCCGAAACGTCGTGAGAATATTATTGTGTTATTTTATTTTATCAATTTATTATTTTATTCTCATTCTACGTGACTTTACCGAAAGAACCAAAGAAGATGAATCCTTGCAGTTACGAAAGCTTTAAATCGAAACTGCCCATAGACTCAGCACTGCACCATAGACTCAACACTGCCCATAGACTCAACACTGCCCAAAGACTCAACACTACACCATAGACTCAACACTACACCATAGACTCAACACTGCCCATAGACTCAACACTGCACCATAGACTCAACACTGCACCATAGACTCAACACTGCCCATAAACTCAACACTGCCCATAGACTTAACACTGCACCATAGACTCAACACTGCCCATAGCCTCAACACTGCACCATAGACTCAACACTGCACCATAGATTCAACACTGCACCACAGACTCAACACTGCCCATAAACTCAACACTGCCCATAGACTCAACACTGCCCATAGACTCAACACTGCACCATAGTCTCAACACTGCCCATAATCTCAACACTGCCCATAGACTTAATACTGCACCATAGACTGAACACTGCACCATAGCCTCAACACTGCCCAAAGACTCAACACTGCCCATAGACTCAACACAGCCCATAGACTCAACACTGCACCATAGACTCAACACTGCCCATAGAATGATAATAAAATAATAAATTGATAAAATAAAATAACACACTGTCTGGAGCACAGTCTCGTCCCTTCACCTGCTGAAGGCCGCTTGTGTTGTGGCCGAAACGTCGTGAGAATATTATTGTGTTATTTTATTTTATCAATTTATTATTTTATTCTCATTCTACGTGACTTTACCGAAAGAACCAAAGAAGATGAATCCTTGCAGTCACGAAAGCTTTAAATCGAAACTGCCCATAGACTCAGCACTGCACCATAGACTCAACACTGCCCATAGACTCAACACTGCCCAAAGACTCAACACTACAACATAGACTCAACACTACACCATAGACTCAACACTGCCCATAGACTCAACACTGCACCATAGACTCAACACTGCACCATAGACTCAACACTGCCCATAAACTCAACACTGCCCATAGACTTAACACTGCACCATAGACTCAACACTGCCCATAGCCTCAACACTGCACCATAGACTCAACACTGCACCATAGATTCAACACTGCACCACAGACTCAACACTGCCCATAAACTCAACACTGCCCATAGACTCAACACTGCCCATAGACTCAACACTGCACCATAGTCTCAACACTGCCCATAATCTCAACACTGCCCATAGACTTAATACTGCACCATAGGCTCAACACTGCCCATAGACTCAACACTGCACCATAGACTCAACACTACACCATAGACTCAACACTGCCCCATAGACTCAACACTGCCCCATAGACTCAACACTGCCCATAGACTCAACACTGCACCATAGACTCAACACTACACCATAGACTCAACACTGCCCACAGACTCAACACTGCTACCCATAGACTCAACACTGCCCATAGACTCAACACTGCACCATAGACTCAACACTGCCCATACACTCAACACTGCACCATAGACTGAACACTACCCATAGACTCAGCATTGCCCATAGACTCAACACTGCCCATAGACTCAACACTGCACCATAGACTCAACACTACCCATAGACTCAACACTGCACCATAGACTCACCACTGCCCATAGACTCAACACTGCACCATAGACTCAACACTGCACGACAGACTCAACACTGCCCATAGACTCAACACTGCACCATAGACTCAACACTGCCCATAGACTCAGCACTGCACCATAGACTCAACACTGCACCATAGACTCAACACTACACCATAGACTCAACACTGCCCATAGACTCAACACTGCCCATAGACTCAACACTGCACCATAGACTCAACACTGCACCATAGACTCAGCACTGACACCCATAGACTCAACACTCCCCATAGACTCAACACTGCCACCCACAGACTCACCACTGCCCTTAGACTCAACACTGCCACCCACAGACTCAACACTGCACCATAGACTCAACACTGCCCATAGGCTCAACACTGCCCATAGACTCAACACTGCACCATACACTCAACACTGCACCATAGACTCAACACTGCACCATAGTCTCAACACTGCCCATAAACTCAACACTCCCCATAGACTTAACACTGCACCATAGGCTCAACACTGCCCATAGACTCAACACTGCACCATAGACTCAACACTGCACCATAGACTCAACACTGCACCATAGTCTCAACACTGCCCATAAACTCAACACTCCCCATAGACTTAACACTGCACCATAGGCTCAACACTGCCCATAGACTCAACACTGCCACCCACAGACTCAACACTGCACCATAGACTCAACACTGCCCATAGACTCAACACTGCACCACAGACTCAACACTGCCCATAGACTCAACACTCCCCATAGACTCAACACTGCACCATAGACTCAACACTGCCCAAAGACTCAACACTGCCCAGACTCAACACTGCCCATAGACTTAACACTGCCCCATAGACTGAACACTGCACCATAGCCTCAACACTGCCCAAAGACTCAACACTGCCCATAGACTCAACACAGCCCATAGACTCAACACTGCACCATAGACTCAATACTGCACCATAGACTCAACACTGCCCATAGACTCAACACTGCCACCCACAGACTCAACACTGCCCAAGGTGTTGAGTCTTTGCCCGTGACCCGTGTCCCTCACCCGCTGTCTCCATGTCACAGTAGGCGGCCACGGGAGCCGTGAGTCCTGGCCCACCGACGGGCATCAGGGAGTAGACCCCCGAGCGTCGCTCCCCCGAGCGGTGTAGCGAGGCGCAGTCCCTGGGGCACCTGGCGCTCCCGCACACCTCTGCGCGAGTCCAGACGGACGCCCCACGGATGGAGGGACCGAGCGGAGGCGACGTGGTCAGGTGGACGGACGGACGGACGGACGGACGGATGGGTGGTCAGACGAACGGACGAAAGTACAGAAAGATGGTCAGGTGGACGGACGGATGGACGGATGGGAGGTCAGACGAACAGACGAAAGTACAGAAAGATGGTCAGGTGGACGGACGGATGGACGGATGGGAGGTCAGACGAACGGACGAAAGTACAGAAAGATGGTCAGGTGGACGGACGAACGGACGGAAGGATGGGAGGTCAGACGAACGGACGAAAGGGCAGAGAGATGGTCACGTGGATGGACGGACAGATGGACGGATGGGAGGTCAGACGAACGGACGAAAGGGCAGAGAGATGGTCACGTGGACGGACGGATGGACGGATGGGAGGTCGGTCGAACGGACGAAAGGACAGAGAGATGGTCAGGTGGACGGACGGACGGGTGGATGGTCAGGCGGATGGGCGGGCGGTCAGACAGATGATTGCATGGGCGGTCAGATGAACGGGTGGAAGGATGGACAGATGGACACGCAAATAGACAGATGGATGGGGGGTCAGAGGCAGTGAGGGAGCGAGGGAGAGTTACACGTAGCCTGGCCGTGAGGCCGCTATTCCCGTCCCTCGTGGCGTTGACTACCGCAGCTCCGCTAATCTTGGCTCGCCGCTAAATCTCTGAAGTGGGACATGCTGTGAATCATCGGGGGTGGGGGGCAGGGAGGGGGGGGGGAGGCTGGGGGGCGGGGCTGTGAATCATATACGAGACTTGCTAAGTCCATCAATCCCTGCCCCCCCCCTCGAATGCAGTTTGAACGATCCCTCAGTGGGGGGGGGGGGGGGGGGGCACGGGCACGTGCACCTTCCCATTATTTACTTCTATAACGGGATATTCATTCACAATTGTCTGCAATCACCGACGCGCCGTTTCGGCATCGGTGCGTCGTCCACGCAGTGTCGAAGCAAGAAGCGTCTCCCGGGGAACGCGTCGCAATAGGAGCACGCACACGCACGGACACACACACAGACCAAGTGTCCTAGGTGCGTGCGTGTGTGTGTGTGTGTGCGCTGTGTTGGACAAAGTCCCATCGGTGAGCTCCTCCGGCGGGCAAAGCTGCTGCGTTGGCTGGGTCATGTAGCCCGCATGCCCAGCCACCGCATGCCGAAACAGCTTTTGTTCGGCCGGATCGAGGGGGCTAAGCGGGCGCGGCACGGGCTAGAGAAGAGATGGAGTGACGTGGTACAGGAGGCACGGGGCTAGAGAAGAGATGGAGCTGATGTGGTACAGGAGGCACGGGGCTAGAGAAGAGATGGAGTGATTTGTACAGGAGGCACGGGGCTAGAGAAGAGATGGAGTGATGTGATACAGGAGGCACGGGGCTAGAGAAGAGATGGAGTGATGTGATACAGGAGGCACGGGGCTAGAGAAGAGATGGAGTGATGTTGTACAGGAGGCACAGGGCTAGAGAAGAGATGGAGTGACGTGGTACAGGAGGCACGGGGCTAGAGAAGAGATGGAGTGATGTGATACAGGAGGCACGGGGCTAGAGAAGAGATGGAGTGATGTGATACAGGAGGCACGGGGCTAGAGAAGAGATGGAGTGATGTTGTACAGGAGGCACGGGGCTAGAGAAGAGATGGAGTGATGTGGTACAGGAGGCACGGGGCTAGAGAAGAGATGGAGTGATGTGGTACAGGAGGCACGGGGCTAGAGAAGAGATGGAGTGATGTGATACAGGAGGAGCTCACACAGCTCACGAATCTCACGAATCTCACGCAGCTCACGCAGTTGGCGATGGGCCACATTTGAGTAGGTGGCCCAGACGCATGCTTACCGGCAATGAGCGCCTGCACGCCGTTCGCCGGTGGTGCCGGCGGTGGCACTCCCGGCGGCGGCGGCGGCTGCGGCTGCTTCTGACGCTGGCGGTGTTGCGGTGCGCCGCCTTGCCCGTGGTGCCGCGGCGAGGGCTGTTGGTGCCACGGGTTGGCGTGCGGCGCCACGCGCGGGGTCTGGCGGTGATGGTGCGGCGATTGGCGCGCCGCTCCGTGCTCCGGATCGTGCGGCGCTCCGTGCTCCGGATTATACGCTCCGTGCGGTGCTCCGTGCGCCGAGCGGTGCGGCGCTCCGTGTTCCGGATGGTGCGGCGCTCCGTGCTCCGGATCGTGCCGCGCCGCTCCGTGCTCCGGATCGTGCCGCGCCGCTCCGTGCTCCGGATGGTGCGGTGCTCCGTGCTCCGGATCGTACGGCGTTCTGTGCGGAAAATGGTGCGGTGCTCCGCGTTCCAGATGGTGTGGTGCTCCGTGTTCCAGATGGTGCGGTGCTCCATGTTCCGGATGGTGCGGTGCTCCGTGCGCCGAGCGGTGTGGCGCTCCGTGTTCCGGATGGTGCGGCGCTCCGTGCTCCGGATTGTGCCACGCCGCTCCGTGTTCCGGATTGTGCCACGCCGCTCCGTGTTCCGGATGGTGCGGTGCCGCTCCGTGCGCCGCGTGGTGCCGCTGGCGCCGGCAGCCCGAGGCGTGGGCGCCGTCCCCGTACCCCGCCAGGGCCGTGGCGTTGTGCAGCAGCGAGCCGTGGTCGTGCAGCAGCGAGCCGTGGTCGTGCAGCAGCGAGCCGTGGTCGTGCAGCAGCGAGCCGTGGTCGCGCAGCAGCGAGCCGTGGTCGCGCAGCAGCGAGCCGTGGTCGTGCAGCTGAGCCTGCGCCTCGCCCAGCCGGTGCTCGTGCTCGCGCAGGCGCTCCGCCTGCCACGAGGCGTTCCGCTTCGCCCACTCCAGCTGCTCGCAGCAGGCAAAGACAAACTTTTCCGCGCATCTGTGCGTGCGTGCGTGTGTGTGCGTGCGTGTGTGAGTGTGTGAGTGTGTGAGTGAGTGTGTGCGTGTGTGTGTGTGTGCGTGCGTGTGTGCGTGTGTGTGTGTGTGCGCTGATCTTCCTTCGCACCACCGTGCGTGAGCCCAGCGTGCTCGTCGGCGGTGGGGGGGGGGGGGAAGGGCGATGAACTAAATGTTAATGAAAAAATTAAACATTCCGAAGAAATGAGTTTGTCAGTTTCGACGATTTGAAAGCGCAGAGCTCCCAGCGGATTTTCCGAACATCGTTAAGGAAGGGCGTTCCAGACGGAACGCATCATCGACATCATCATCATCATCATCATCGCCGACGCCACCACCATCAACGTCAATATCCCCCACTGCACCCAGGCTGCTCCTCAACATCACCACCACGACCGCCGCCAACATGGTCATCACCGTTATTGCCACCACCATCACCACCGCCATCATCATCATCATCATCATGATCAATGTCACGTGGATGTCCAGTCTCCTTTGTCGCCGTCCCCACCTGCACCTGGAGGAGGTTCCCCCGGTGCTGCTGGTGCCGCGCCATCTCCCGCAGCTCGGAGAGGCTGTCCCGCAGCTGAAGCAGCTGCTGGGTCAGCGCCTCGCTCTGGTGGCGCCAGTCGGCCGCTTCCTACGGAGGACCATGTTTGGGGGAGGGGGGCAGGGCGGGTGGGGGCACGCAGAAAAAGGAGGGACAAGAGGAGAGAGAGCTGTGGATGAAGGAGGGAGCTGTGGATGAAGGAGGGAGCTGTGGATGAAGGAGAGAGCTGTGGATGAAGGAGGGAGCTGTGGATGAAGGAGAGAGCTGTGGGTGAAGGAGGGAGCTGTGGATGAAGGAGGGAGCTGTGGATGAAGGAGGGAGCTGTGGATGAAGGAGGGAGCTGTGGATGAAAGAGGGAGCTGTGGATGAAGGAGAGAGCTGTAGATAAAGGAGGGAGCTGTTGATGAATGAGAGAGCTGTGGGTGAAGGAGGGAGCTGTGGATGAAGGAGGGAGCTGTGGATGAAGGAGGGAGCTGTGGATGAAGGAGGGAGCTGTGGATGAAGGAGGAAGCTGTTGATGAAGGAGGGAGCTGTGGATGAAGGAGGGAGCTGTGGATGAAGGAGAGAGCTGTGGATGAAGGAGAGAGCTGTGGATGAAGGAGGGAGCTGTGGATGGAGAGAGCTGTGGATGAAGGAGGAAGCTGTTGATGAAGGGGAGAGCTGTGGATGAAGGAGAGAGCTGTGGATGAAGGAGGGAGCTGTGGATAACGGAGAGAGCTGTGGATGAAGGAAGGAGCTGTGGATGAAGGAGGGAGCTGTGGATGAAGGAGAGAGCTGTGGATGAAGGAGAGAGCTGTGGATGAAGGAGAGAGCTGTGGATGAAGAAAAGAGCTGTGGATGAACGAGAGAGCTGTGGATGAAGGAGAGAGCTGTGGATGTAGGAGAGAGCTGTGGATGAAGGAGGGAGCTGTGCATGAAGGAGAGAGCTGTGGATGAAGGAGAGAGCTGTGGATGAAGGAGAGAGCTGTGGATGAAGGAGAGAGCTGTGGATGAAGGAAGAGCTGTGGATAACGGAGAGAGCTGTGGATGAAGGAAGGAGCTGTGGATGAAGGAGGGAGCTGTGGATGAAGGAGGGAGCTGAGAATGAAGGAGGGAGCTGTGGATGAAGGAGGGAGCTGTGCATGAAGGAGAGAGCTGTGGATGAACGAGAGAGCTGTGGATGAAGGAGAGAGCTGTGGATGAAGGAGAGAGCTGTGGATGAAGGAGAGAGCTGTGGATGAAGGAGGGAGCTGTGGATAACGGAGAGAGCTGTGGATGAAGGAAGGAGCTGTGGATGAAGGAGGGAGCTGTGGATGAAGGAGGGAGCTGAGGATGAAAAAGGGAGCTGTGGATGAAGGAGGGAGCTGTGGAAGAAGTGGGGAGCTGTGGATGAACGAGAGAGCTGTGGATGAAGGAGAGAGCTGTGGATGAAGGAGGGAGCTGTGGATGAAGGAGAGAGCTGTGGATGAAGGAAGAGCTGTGGATAACGGAGAGAGCTGTGGATGAAGGAAGGAGCTGTGGATGAAGGAGGGAGCTGTGGATGAAGGAGGGAGCTGAGGATGAAGGAGGGAGCTGTGGATGAAGGAGGGAGCTGTGCATGAAGGAGAGAGCTGTGGATGAACGAGAGAGCTGTGGATGAAGGAGAGAGCTGTGGATGAAGGAGAGAGCTGTGGATGAAGGAGAGAGCTGTGGATGAAGGAGGGAGCTGTGGATAACGGAGAGAGCTGTGGATGAAGGAAGGAGCTGTGGATGAAGGAGGGAGCTGTGGATGAAGGAGGGAGCTGAGGATGAAAAAGGGAGCTGTGGATGAAGGAGGGAGCTGTGGAAGAAGTGGGGAGCTGTGGATGAACGAGAGAGCTGTGGATGAAGGAGAGAGCTGTGGATGAAGGAGGGAGCTGTGGATGAAGGAGAGAGCTGTGGATGAAGGAGGGAGCTGTGGAAGAAGTGGGGAGCTGTGGATGAACGAGAGAGCTGTGGATGAAGGAGGGAGCTGAGAATGAAGGAGGGAGCTGTGGATGAAGGAGGGAGCTGTGCATGAAGGAGAGAGCTGTGGATGAACGAGAGAGCTGTGGATGAAGGAGAGAGCTGTGGATGAAGGAGAGAGCTGTGGATGAAGGAGAGAGCTGTGGATGAAGGAGGGAGCTGTGGATAACGGAGAGAGCTGTGGATGAAGGAAGGAGCTGTGGATGAAGGAGGGAGCTGTGGATGAAGGAGGGAGCTGAGGATGAAAAAGGGAGCTGTGGATGAAGGAGGGAGCTGTGGAAGAAGTGGGGAGCTGTGGATGAACGAGAGAGCTGTGGATGAAGGAGAGAGCTGTGGATGAAGGAGGGAGCTGTGGATGAAGGAGAGAGCTGTGGATGAAGGAGGGAGCTGTGGATGAAGGAGAGAGCTGTGGATGAAGGAGGGAGCTGTGGGTGAAGAAGGGAGCTGTTGATGAAGGAGGGAGCTGTGGATGAAGGAGAGAGCTGTGGATGAAGGAGGGAGCTGTGGATGAAGGAGGGAGCTGTGGATGAAGGAGAGAGCTGTGGGTGAAGGAGAGGGACCTGTGGATGAAGGAGGAAGCTGTTGATGAAGGAGGGAGCTGTGAATGAAGAAGAGAGCTGTGGATGAAGGAGAGAGCTGTGAATGAAGGAGAGAGCTGTGGATGAAGGAGAGGGACCTGTGGATGAAGGAGGGAGCTGTGGATGAAGGAGAGAGCTGTGGATGAAGGAGGGAGCTGTAGATGAAGGAGAGGGACCTGTGGATGAAGGAGGAAGCTGTTGATGAAGGAGGGAGCTGTGGATGAAGGAGCGAGCTGTTGATGAAGGAGAGGGACCTGTGGATGAAGGAGGGAGCTGTTGATGAAGGAGGGAGCTGTGGATGAAGGAGAGAGTTGTGGAGGAAGGAGAGAGCTGTGTGTGAAGGGGGGAGCTGAGGATGAAGGGGAGAGCTGTGGATGAAGGAGGGAGCTGAGGATGAAGGAGGGAGCTGTGGATGAAGGAGAGAGCTGTGGATGAAGGAGGAGCGAGAGAGCTGTAGATGAAGGAGGGAGCTATTGATGAAGGAGAGAGCTGTGGATGAAGGATGGAGCTCTGTATGAAGGAGGGAGCTGTGGATAAAGGATGCATGAATAAAGTATACAGGAAAGTCACTCTCCTGCATGCGACAGCATAGCCACCACCACCAACCTCACTGCCACCACCCCCACCACCACTAAAGCCACTAACCACCACCACCGCTACCAGCACCGCAGCCACCATCCCCACGTACACGTGTGCAGCGGAAGATGTCTGGGCAGCGCTGCTCGTGGTCGGCCAATGGAAGGGTGGCCACCAGGCGGCACCGGCGGCCCGGCAGCAGCTTGTGTTGGTAATCCTCGCACAACTCGCCCGCGGCGTGGCCATCGGCCTCCTCCCGTAAGGCCCACAGGCTGGGCCACAGAGCCATACACAGAGCCACGGCCGCCAGCAGCCCCTGCCCCGACATGGCCACGCACTGCTGCTGGGGCCCCCGGCGGCCCTCCTCATGCGCGCGGCGGTACGGGCTGGTTAGGTGGGGGAGGGGGGGAGGGAGGGGTCAGATGCGGGGGGGAAGTAAGGGTCATTGATTGGTGTGACGGATACACTCACTACTGCCAGCGCCCTGAGACGGGAAGACTTCCAGTGTGCTTACTCTGTCACGTACAGCTCCCTCCATCACCCACAGCTCCCTCCTTCATCCACAGCTCTCTCCTTCATCCACTGCTCTCTCCTTCACCCCTAGGTCTCTCCTTCATCCACAGCTCTCTCCTTCATCCACAGCTCTCTCCTTCATCCACAGCTCTCTCCTTCATCCACAGCTCTCTCCTTCATCCACAGCTCCCTCCTTCATCCACAGCTCTCTCCTTCACCCCCAGCTCTCTCCTTCATCCACAGCTCCCTCCTTCATCCACAGCTCCCTCCTTCATCCACACCTCTCTCCTTCATCCACAGCTCCCTCCTTCATCCACAGCTCCCTCCTTCATCCACAGCTCTCTCCTTCATCCACAGCTCCCTCCTTCATTCACAGCTCTCTCCTTCATCCACAGCTCCCTCCTTCATCCACAGCTCCCTCCTTCATCCACAGCTCTCTCCTTCATCCACTGCTCTCTCTTTCACCCCCAGCTCTCTCCTTCATCCACAGCTCTCTCCTTCATCCACACCTCTCTCCTTCATCCCTAGCTCTCTCTTTCATCCACAGCTCCCTCCTTCATCCACAGCTCCCTCCTTCATCCACAGCTCTCTCCTTCATCCATCGCTCCCTCCTTCATGCACAGCTCCCTCCTTCATTCACAGCTCTCTCCTTCATCCACAGCTCCCTCCTTCATCCACAGCTCCCTCCTTCATCCACAGCTCCCTCCTTCATTCACAGCTCCCTCCATCACCCACAGCTCTCTCGTTCATCCACAGCTCTCTCCTTCATCCACAGCTCCCACCTTCATCCACAGCTCTCTCCTTCATCCACAGCTCTCTCCTTCATCCACAGCTCCCTCCTTCATTCACAACTCTCTCCATCATCCACAGCTCCCAGCTCCCTCCTTCAATTACAACACCCTCTTTCATTCACAGCTCTCTCCTTCATCCACAGCTCCCTCTTTCATCCACAGCTTCCTCCTTCATCAACAGTTCCCTCCTTCACCCACAGCTCTCTCCTTCATCCACAGCTCTCTCTCTCCTTCATCCACAGCTCCCTTAATCATCCACAGCTATATCCTTCATCCACAGCTCCCTCCTCTTGTCCATCGGACCATGTCTCACAAACCTGGACCAGGAACCCACAAACCTGGACTAGGAACCCACCAACCTGGACTAGGAACCAACAAACCTGCACCAGGAACCCACAAACCTGAACCCCGAACCAATAAACCCAGATTCAGAACCCACAAACCTGCACCAGTAACCCACAAACCCAGATTCAGAACCCACATACCCAGATTCAGAACCCAAAAACCTGCACCAGGAACCCACAAACCCAGATTCAGAACCCACAAACCCAGATTCAGAACTCACAAACCTGCATCAGGATCCCACAAACCCAGATTCAGAACCCACAAATCAGCACCAGGAACGCACAAACTCAGATTCAGAACCCACAACTCTCTCCATCATCCACAGCTCCCAGCTCCCTCCTTTATCCACAACTCCCTCTTTCATCCACAGCTCTCTCCATCATCCACAGCTCCCTCCTTCACACACAGCTCCCTCCTTCATCCACAGCTCCCTCCTTCACACACAGCTCCCTCCTTCATCCACAGCTCCCTCCTTCATCCACAGCTCTCTCCTTCATCCACAGCTCCTTCCTTCACACACAGCTCCCTCCTTCATCCACAGCTCTCTCCTTCATCCACAGCTCCCTCCTTCATTCACAGCTCTCTCCTTCATCCACAGCTTCCTCCTTCATCCACAGCTCCCTCCTTCATCCACAGCTCCCTCCTTCATTCACAGCTCTCTCCTTCACACACAGCTCCCTCCTTCACCCACAGCTCTCTCCTTCATGCACAGCTCTCTCTCCTTCATCTACAGCTCCCTCAATCATCCACAGCTCTCTCCTTCATCCACAGCTCCCTCCTCTTGTCCATCGGACCATGTCTCACAAACCTGGACCAGGAACCCACAAGCCTGGACTAGGAACCCACCAACCTGGACTAGGAACCCACAAACCTGAACCCCGAACCAACAAACCCAGATTCAGAACCCACAAACTTGCACCAGGAACCCACAAACCCATATTCAGAACCCACAAACCCAGATTCAGAGCCCACATACCCAGATTCAGAACCCACAAACCTGCACCAGAAACCCACAAACCCATATTCAAAACCCACAAACCCAGATTCAGAGCCCACAAACCTGCATCAGGAACCCACAAACCCAGATTCAGAACCCACAAACCTGCACCAGGAACCCACAAACCCAGATTCAGAACCCACAAATATGCACCAGGAACCCACAAACCCAGATTCAGAACCCACAAACTCAGGCTCAGAACCCACAAACCCAGATTCAGAACCCACAAACCCAGATTCAGAACCCACAAACCCAGACTCAGAACCCACAAACCCTGACTCAGAACCCACAAACCCAGATTCATAACCCACAAACCCAGACTCAGAACCCACAAACCCAGATTCAGAACCCACAAACCCAGATTCAGAACCCACAAACCCAGACTCAGAACCCACAAACCCAGATTCAAAACCCACAAACCCAGACTCAGAACCCACAAACCCAGATTCAGAACCCACAAACCCAGACTCAGAACCCACAAACCCAGACTCAGAACCCACAAACCCAGACTCAGAACCCACAAACCCTGACTCAGAACCCACAAACCCAGATTCATAACCCACAAACCCAGACTCAGAACCCACAAACCCAGATTCAGAACCCACAAACCCAGATTCAGAACCCACAAACCCAGACTCAGAACCCACAAACCCAGATTCAAAACCCACAAACCCAGACTCAGAACCCACAAACCCAGATTCAGAACCCACAAACCCAGACTCAGAACCCACAAACCCAGACTCAGAACCCACAAACCCAGACTCAGAACCCACAAACCCAGACTCAGAACCCACAAACCCAGATTCAGAACCCACAAACCCAGACTCAGAACCCACAAACTCAGATTCAGAACCCACAAACCCAGACTCAGAACCCACAAACCCAGATTCAGAACCCACAAACCCAGATTCAGAACCCACAAACCCAGATTCAGAACCCACAAACCCAGATTCAGAACCCACAAACCCAGACTCAGAACCCACAAACCCAAGCTCAGAACCCACAAACCCAAGCTCAGAACCCACAAACCCAGACTCAGAACCCACAAACCCAGACTCAGAACCCACAAACCCAGATTCAGAACCCACAAACCCAGACTCAGAACCCACAAACCCAGATTCAGAACCCACAAACCCAGACTCAGAACCCACAAACCCAGATTCAGAACCCACAAACCCAGATTCAGAACCCACAAACCCAGATTCAGAGCCCACAAACCCAGATTCAGAACCCACAAACCCAGACTCAGAACCCACAAACCCAAGCTCAGAACCCACAAACCCAAGCTCAGAACCCACAAACCCAGACTCAGACCCCACAAACCCTGACTCAGAACCCACAAACCCAGACTCAGAACCCACAAACCCAGACTCAGAACCCACAAACCCAGACTCAGACCCCACAAACCCAGATTCAGAACCCACAAACCCAGACTCAGAACCCACAAACCCAGATTCAGAACCCACAAACCCAGACTCAGAACCCACAAACCCAGACTCAGAACCCACAAACCCAGATTCAGAACCCACAAACCCAGATTCAGAACCCACAAACCCAGATTCAGAACCCACAAACCCAGACTCAGAACCCACAAACCCAAGCTCAGAACCCACAAACCCAAGCTCAGAACCCACAAACCCAGACTCAGAACCCACAAACCCAGACTCAGAACCCACAAACCCAGACTCAGAACCCACAAACCCAGACTCAGAACCCACAAACCCAGACTCAGAACCCACAAACCCAGATTCAGAACCCACAAACCCAGACTCAGAACCCACAAACCCAGATTCAGAACCCACAAACCCAGACTCAGAACCCACAAACCCAGATTCAGAACCCACAAACCCAGATTCAGAACCCACAAACCCAGATTCAGAACCCACAAACCCAGATTCAGAACCCACAAACCCAGACTCAGAACCCACAAACCCAAGCTCAGAACCCACAAACCCAAGCTCAGAACCCACAAACCCACACTCAGAACCCACAAACCCAGACTCAGAACCCACAAACCCAGATTCAGAACCCACAAACCCAGACTCAGAACCCACAAACCCAGATTCAGAACCCACAAACCCAGACTCAGAACCCACAAACCCAGATTCAGAACCCACAAACCCAGATTCAGAACCCACAAACCCAGATTCAGAACCCACAAACCCAGATTCAGAACCCACAAACCCAGATTCAGAACCCACAAACCCAGACTCAGAACCCACAAACCCAAGCTCAGAACCCACAAACCCAAGCTCAGAACCCACAAACCCAGACTCAGACCCCACAAACCCTGACTCAGAACCCACAAACCCAGACTCAGAACCCACAAACCCAGACTCAGAACCCACAAACCCAGACTCAGACCCCACAAACCCAGACTCAGAACCCACAAACCCAGACTCAGAACCCACAAACCCAGACTCAGAACCCACAAACCCAGACTCAGACCCCACAAACCCAGATTCAGAACCCACAAACCCAGACTCAGAACCCACAAACCCAGATTCAGAACCCACAAACCCAGACTCAGAACCCACAAACCCAGATTCAGAACCCACAAACCCAGATTCAGAACCCACAAACCCAGATTCAGAACCCACAAACCCAGATTCAGAACCCACAAACCCAGACTCAGAACCCACAAACCCAAGCTCAGAACCCACAAACCCAAGCTCAGAACCCACAAACCCAGACTCAGACCCCACAAACCCTGACTCAGAACACACAAACCCAGACTCAG